TATTGATTTCTTTTCATCTGTTGAATCTGAAGAACTTTGATTATTTGATTTAAGAGTTCTTGATTTAGATTTGGAACAATGAGTGTTATCAATGGCATGCCCATATACTACCTTGTCATGAGACTCTGATCCTTTGAAGAGTTGTCAGGAGTAGAAGGCTTTGACTGATCTTCAGGTTCAAAATTGCTAATTTAGCATTGAGGAAACATACTAAGAATTTCGTTTACATAATGAACTTCACCATTACATATAGGAAACTTTAGCAAAGTCTTAGTGGAGGGAAGAACATACTCACGATGTGAAGGTTGGAGAGAAGTATCAAGAGAAGACAATTTAGTAACACATTTAGTAATGCCATTAGAATCAATAGCAGTGAGTATTTATTAGGGTTTGATTTATAATGTAAGAACTCACAAATCTACTTATAAAGTTTTCTTTTAAGCAGTCAACTTTATAAAAGGTTTGTTTAGTTTCGACTTTGGTTAAAGATACAACACCTTCTATATCACCTCCAAGAATTTTCTTACACTGATCTGGAATCTAAGCATTAATGATTCTTGTGACATTAAAGTGAGAGGATGCCAAAAAATTCAAAATAAGCTGAGTGTGATTAGCATAATCAACAACTTTTTCTTTTTCAGTGTGAAGAAAATTATTGGTAAGCGATATACAAGTGTTGTCCTTTTTTAAAATAGAAAGAGACTTTTCTAGAGAAAGAAGTTTTTTTTTGAGAATCTTTAGCTCAAGACTGAGAGAAGATTTTTCTTTATTTTAGATCAATAAGTTGAAACGTAAGAGATCGACCGTGTCATCTTTTTCGATATTATCAATAGAAGAAAGATTAACCTGATTTTTTACCTAATATGTTGATGCATCGTCCCATTCTGACTTGAGGTTATCAACAGTAGAAGGAGAATCAGCGCTAAGAATCCCAACGCTGTCATGTGAAGTGTCAGCGTGAGATTCAACAGTTTGAGCCATGAAACACTTAACTTCATCGTCTGAAGATATTTCCTTTTCAAAAGCAGATGACAGAGTGATCATCATCTCTTGAGCAGTTGAGCAGTTTTAGACCAAACGATAGACAGAAAAAGGAAGTGAGTTTCCAATAGGAATTCTAGCTTTTACATCAAAAATTCAGCATCCTTTTCTCTTCCTTGCTATAACAGAGAATGGGCTTCCCTTTCAGCTTACTTCCATATGCACCATTATTTGATGATTGATGTACAATAGCTCTAGGACCTTTGTTGACGATGTCGAGCATATCAAAATCCATGAAATCTAGAACATTCATGGCCTTTGATTTCCAATCAGAGAAGTTATATTGGTCAAACGGAGGAATCTTGTTAAAAATAGATGACTTAGGAACTAGGAAGATGACATGATTACTTGAGTGTATCACAAACTTTCTCTGATACCAATTGAAGGTTTGTGTTTGATCGGATACACTTCAAGTGTGAATAAGAAACGTAAAACTAATCTAAGCAATGTCACACCCCAAAAACCGGAACGGCGGAAACGTTCTGGGGTGGAGGACGTCATGTACAATATCATAACAATGCATAATAGTAAAGACAAGCAACAACATCCATTGCATTAATATAATAATTGTAATACAAGCGTGTTCTGTATAGTTTGTAAGACACCCAAAAGTATAATCAAAATAAAAGATGAGTCTTGTATGTGCTCCATCTTCTCAAAAGCTTCATCGGTACCTGTCTACTGATGACCTGAGAATACAAGTTATTTTGAAAGAGTTTATCAGCATAAAGCTGGTGAGTTCATAAGTATTTAGTGTCATTGCTTGTATGAAAATGTTTGTAACAACTTAATGTAGTAACTGATTTCAAATGTTTGTAAATAGTATACTCCCTAGAAAATCCTATATTTTCCAGTAAAAATGTAGTCTTCTACCAAGACCCGATTGTTTGTATGTTTGTTCTTTCGTAATAGTAAGAGTTTTCCCCAGTGAAACTATCAGTATAAAAATATAGTTTTAGACTTCACTCATGAAAGGTGATTACAAAATAAGTGTATTAAGGGAAAATAATGTTTTTCCTCAGCAGTGACACTGCTGGTCATAAAGTGATAAAATACAGACTCCAGGTAGTACTAAATGTACAGTACACCTCGGGGAGTCTAAGGTAATGAAAATGTAGACTCCAGGTAGTATTAAATGAACAATACGCCTCGGAGAGTCTATTTTGCCTTTAATTCTTAATTGGTTAATTAAAGGTTTGAATGTGAACTCGTATGTAACCATGCTGATCGACAGCTGAATAACTGATGATCCTCCAGGTCATGTGTAGTGAGGTAACATTCTGTCACCCCTTGACCTTTCGGCTGGGACTGTAGCTAGCAGTCGGGATGTGGGAGTGTCTGTCCCGTATAGATCTATACACATAATGCCCGCTCTCCCTCCAGGAGACTCTGGTTACAAAGTGATACCACGATGAAGTGTCGTATCGAGAAGTAGTATGTCACATTCGGTTTATAGTATTCAAAAGGTTGTATAGTATGTCATAGTGTAGTGATGTTTTCTCTTTACTAGTATATAGTATGTTTCTGTGTAGTGTATAGTATGTTCTCTGTATAGTGTATAGTATGTTTTGTTTCTCACTGTAGTACTCATGTAGCGACTCGTAAATGTACCGACTCTTGTATGTATCTTTGTAATAGTAGTAGCGAGTAGTAATCCCTTAACTATACCTATTATAGTTAAATAGTAATGTGGTTTGTATGCCTTCGTTACACAAAGGCATTGAACTGAAGTGAAAGCTTTTATATCCAACACACACACACACACACACACACACACACACATATATATATATATATATATATATATATATATATATATATATATATATATATATATATATATATATATAACTAAGAGTTCAACGACATTCGGACAAATAACAGGATACCCTAAGTCTACAACCAAACAAGGAACAGGAAATAAGGTGAGCTATCAGTCCTAAGTCCTTCAAGTCTTACTTATATAAATATATTAATGTAGATATGAGTTTGAAAACAATGCAAGTTTAAAAGAGTTTGGGAGCAGTTTTAGTATCTAAAAGTTTAATAAAAGGTTTTAAAACGCTTGAAAACCATAATTTTGATAGTAACTTGAAAGTAGTAGTAAATCTTTCTGTTTCTTCTAGTCATTAATCACATGTGATTAAAGCAATAACTAGAATATTTCAACTTGTATCCCCCCCCATAAAAGCATTTAAAATCATTTCAAAGGTTGATTAAGGGGTATGAACTCACCTGTAGTGAGTGGTTTGGATGGAAGTGTCGGACAGGATGCTAAGTGTCAAGTGAAGACTTGAACACACACACGGATCCTATTTAACATGTAATGACACATATATGTATCTAATTAGTCATTTAACAATTAATTAATCAAGTAAGGACACCCTAAAACATGGATAACACTTTGATTCAAGTGCTAGGAGTATTAAGGGGTTGCATCTAAAGAGAGTATGGCCTCACATTGGAGTTTACTGCCCATATGGTAACACCACATGAGTTTACGGTTTATGGTCATTTCCCCCATGAGTTTACGGCCGTAAACTCATGGTAATTAGTACCATTGTGTGTTTTAGGGTTTTACAAATCAGGGTTAAGCATCCTATGATCAAGCCCAAGCCTTAGGAAGTAATAGTGGCACAATTTGCACCAACTTTTAGAGTTTACGGCCCATGGTCATAACCCAATGAGTTTACGGTTTAGGGTTTACGGTCCTAGTGGGTTTACGGCCGTAAACCCATGGTAACTCCTACAATTTCGTGGTTTAAGGTCCTTAGCTCATGCATGCAAGGTTCTAGTCCAATATCCAAGCCCTAGAAGGTAATGGTGGCACATATGCACCACCTTATGGTGTTTACGGTCCAAGGAGATTGCCTTGGCCGTAAGCCCATGTGTTCTTGGGTATTCTTGATGTTTTTCAATGGTTTAACAAGCATTCTAAGTAAATAACTAGTTAGGAGGAGTGTACTTACTTATAGGAAGCTTGTAAGAGTGTTTAAGGTCCAAGAACACTAGTGTGTGTTCTTGGTGTTTTGAAGAACACTTGAAGATCTATGAAAAAGACAAGATTTCATGGATGAAATCATGTATAACTACTAGATGAAGTGTTATAACAACAAATCAAGAGAAGAAACACTTACATTTTTGGAAGATTGGAAGAAATATGTTATGATACTTGAGAGAGAAATGTGGGTGTTCTTGAGCTTGGAAGTGAGAAGTGAGGAAATGAGGAGTAAACTCATGCCTTAAGCATGAGTTCACGGCCAAGAGGAGTTTACAGCCCAAACTCCCAAAGTTTGGCCTAAACACCTTGTTATGGTGTGAAATGTTTATTTGTTACGCATCACTCCTAGAAGATACTTCCTTTTATTTGTTCGTTTGACGAATTTATATTAAAAACACCCAAACGGACTTTAAACCGGCTAAAAATTAGCTGAAATGAACTTGACTATTATTTGTATTGCTTGACTGCAGGGTTTGTACAAATAGAAATTTCGGATTGTTACAAGCAAACCAATCAACAAAAAGTAAATAACACAGGAGTTCTCCAAATTGTTCCTTTCATGAAGAAAAGAGGTTTTGTCTTCACCAAGAAGACGGGTTTGTCACAAAAACGATTGACACAAAGCCGTGTTGCACTGACTAAACAACATTAGGGTTTGCCCTAATGTTATATATATATATATATATATATATATATATATATATATATATAGCAATTGTTCTTTTATGTAATTTTACATATTTCCAAAGATTCCAACTATTTTTATCGAATATTCATATAACAAAATAAAAGTTACAGCTACCCGCTACTTACTAACAACCCAAACACACCCCTAAACTTAAAAGGCTAAGGACTATAGTTAAAACTTTGACAAAGTAGGATGATCATTTCTCAATTTGAAAAAATACCACAATTTCTTCACTAGAAGAAACAAAATAATGGAATATTAAATTAGCCGATGGACCCACACACCCCACTCCCCAACCCGGAAAAAGAAGAAAATTTGAAAGAGAAAAGGGGATTGGAAGTCCATAGGCTTGATTTGATGAATGGGAAGAAGACCGAGTTAAGCTTCATCTCCTTTCTCTCTCCAAAAATGTCGGCTTCCCCTCACAAATTTAGCTGATTACTTTACGTTTTCGAAGATTATCAACATCGAATCTTCAAAGAACAAGTTGACTGGGAGGACAGCACGTAACTCGATTGCTTTCTTTCGAAGCAATCGTTAAAAGGGTTTTCAATTTCGTTTTCTGGTAAAACCTCGTTATGGGGGTGTACTCGGTTTTCTGCTCCTTTACCGTGGTATAGTGCAATTTATTATTAGTTGGCTTCTTGATCGTTTTTGTGTTGAAGCACGAAGCAGTCAAGAACTTTTTTCAGGGTTTTTGAACTTATGGATTTTCGCTCGTTCTTTTGTTGCACAAGTCGCTCCGATCGGTATGTTTTGTTTCCTCACTATTCATTTGATTAATCAAAACCCCAACTGAATTAACAAACTTTGTATGATACCAGTATACCACTAAACTCCAGTCTAATTAGGGTTTAATGCGTTAATTGCATAAAGTGCTTGAATTCGATGCATAATTTTATTGTTGCATCATCTATTTTTCTGTTACGGATGTGCAATAAACTGATCAATGATATTTATTTTGATTCTTCAACTCTTAGTAATTATTTCATAATCCAAATCCAAACACCCCCTCAATAAATTCTTGAATTGTGGGCAATTCATTTCCGATTGCTACTATTTAAACAGGAAAGAGAAAGAGAAGAAACAATCAACATGGAGGATATTCTCATTAAAGGAATTACATGCTGCTACAAACAATTTCAATTATGACAACAAGCTTGGTGAAGGTGGATTTGGCAGTGTTTATTGGGGTCAACTCTGGGATGGATCTCAAGTAATTAAACCATCACTCATTTCCTAATCTCAACGACTTCATTATGTTTACTAATTCACTTCCATTTTCAATTTTGATCATTGATATGTGCATTGTTCAGATCGCAGTAAAAAGATTAAAAGTTTTTAGCAACAAAGCAGAAATGGAATTTGCTGTTGAAGTTGAGATTCTTGCACGTGTTAGACACAAGAACCTGTTAAGCTTACGTGGGTATTGTGCAGAAGGACAAGAAAGGTTAATAGTGTATGATTACATGCCTAATCTCAGTTTGCTTTCTCACCTCCATGGTCAACACTCTTCTGAAAGTCTTCTTGATTGGCCAAGAAGAATGACTATTGCTATTGGATCTGCAGAAGGAATTGTGTATGTTCTTTAAAATATATGCTATAATTTTTATATATATAAACAAATTAACAAACATACGTGTTGCTATTTCTTGCATTTATCCAGTTATCTCCACAATCAAGCAACACCACACATAATACACAGAGATGTCAAAGCAAGCAATGTGTTACTAGACTCTGAATTCAAAGCCCAAGTAGCTGATTTTGGATTTGCAAAGTTAATCCCAGATGGGGCGACCCATGTAACCACACGGGTCAAAGGGACTCTCGGATACTTAGCACCCGAATATGCGATGTTAGGTAAAGCATCAGAGAGTTGTGATGTTTATAGTTTTGGGATTCTTTTACTTGAGATTGCAAGTGGGAAGAAACCAATTGAGAAACTAAATGCAACTACAAGAAGATCTATTACAGAATGGGCTTTACCTTTGGTTTGTGAAGGAAAGTTTAGTGAGATTGTGGACCCTAAGCTTAAAGGGGAGTATGTAGAACAAGAGTTGAAAAGGGTTGTTGTTGTTGGGCTTATTTGTGCACATAATCAGCCTGAAAAGAGACCTACAATGATTGAAGTTGTTGAGTTGTTGAAAGGGGAGATGAAAGAGAAGTTTGTTGAAATTGAGAATGATGAAATGTTTAGATGTGGTGAGGTGCGTGGTTGTAATGATGGGGTGTCGGTTGCGGATGATAGTTTGGATTTTGTTTCCGAGGAGAAGGAAGGAGTACAAGAGATTGAGAAGGTAGTGGCATAGATGTAAAAAAGATTGTTTTTTTTGGTTGATTCTTGATTATGGTATGTGCCTATGTGGTGTGTGTTGTTGAAGATTTGTGTGATGTTGTGATTGTAGGACTACATTGTATTTGTGAAAATGAGGGGTTTTAATGTGCGTTTGGTTTTTGTAAGATTGCATGTTAAGCCTATTTATTATACAATGGTTACTTGTGAACTTGTTTAGTGGTTTAACAAGTATGTGGTATGATTTTGATACGTCTTTAAATAACACTTGCTCATCTTATTCACATATTCAAAGATGTTGGTCTTAAATCATTTCCAAATGAACTCAATTTTATACAAAATTGACTCGTATGTTAACACCCATTTTATCGATCACAATTCTTAAATATGGTGTTTGTATTTTGAATTTTTCTCTTCATTTTGATTATTTGTGATTCTAAAAACTCTAAAATTAAAGTTAATATTATTAGGCTCTAATCTTAGTCTTATAAGTCTTTACATGTGATGTTGCAGTTCTTATCACGTCTTTATTAGGTTCAACAAAACTATGCATATATACTATTTAATATGTGTGACCAACCTACAAAGTCTTTTTATGTGTTGGTTCATGTGATGTCATAGTTTTTATCACATGTCTTTATTAAGTGGCACAAAACCATACATATATACTATTTAATAGGTGTGACCAACCTACAAGTCTTTTCATGTGCTAGTTCATGTGATGTCACAGTTCTAGTTCTTATCAGATGTCTTTATTAGGTGGCACAAAACCATACATATATATACTAGTTAATAGGTGTGACCAACCTACAAATTCTTACATGTGCTAGTTTATGTGATGTCATCTTATCACATGCCTTTATTAGGTGGCACAAAACCATACATATCTACTATTTAATAGGTGTGACCAACCGGACCAATATGGGTACCGACCATGTCTTGTGATTCAAGATTCGGTAAAAATTACTGGTTGGTTTTTGGTTTTCGATGCTAACATTATTTAGTTTTCGGGTAAATACCGAACCAAATCGGATTGTAAATATATTTCGGTAACAATTATTTTTATCAAAAATCATTAGAACCCCAACTCAAACAGATAATTACATATATCAACTGAAATAGATAATTACATATATGTGTATCTTTTATTGAACTATTTGTATATTATTTGTATTTATTAATCTGTTCCAAGAAAAATCACTATAAAGTTTATACATTGACATCTGCTCTATAATTCTATTTCTCCATATGACAATTTCTTCTTCTTTTATTCTCTTTTACTGCTTTTGAGACTAATTATGACTTAGAATACTACTGGAGCTCCACTTCCTTTAGAGGGTTGTCTTAAATCAACTGTAAACTAGCCTTATTTTTCTATTATTAAACAATCATATTGAAAATCTTCGTATTTTATAATCTAGACGTGGTAATTTATATTTAGTTCCGATCCACGGTGATCATATGGGAGTAAGCTACTCAGGGACTGATGCAAGAGTAGAAACCCACCTTGTACTTAACTTTGATGGAGAGATTTAGAGCATGAGAGCGAGGAAGACGCGTAAACGAAGAGCACACTCGTTTTCAATATATGTTTTCTTTCTTTATTGTATGCATGTATGATATCGGATTTATGTCGTGAATTAAGTTGTAAAAACAATAAATTAAGGGAAGTTGAGTAATCTAATCCTTATTTCGGGTGTTTTTATAAAATATAATCTATTTTTTTGCAAAATAATTACATATTCCGGAATGTGTCATTTCAGAACGAATTTCGGATTATTTTTCGGGTAACCCAGCCCATTTCATTTGATCCAGAATGTCTACTTCGGATCAACCGTATATGTTCCGGCTACTAATTTGAGGCGGTGACTTCATTCCAGAAATGCGCATTCCGATTCCGACGTTCCGACTCGATTCCGACACACAACTTTGATCTCCGACATGGAAGACGAACACTACAACCCCGTTATTTTATAGGTACATTCTTCGTTATCTTTTTACATAGTTTCCTTGTTTGTTTAAGGTGCTTATTTTTCTACTGTTATTATTATTGTTATTCTTCTGGAATTCGTAGAACATCTCCGGAATGAACTGAAAACGTTCCAGAGTTTAAATTAAAGATGTCATTTTTGTAGGACCAACAGAAAAGTAGTTTAAATGTTTACGTATTGTTGATTTACATCGAAATGTCGTGTTCCGGATCTTAAAAGTTCATTTCGGCAGCCTCCGGAACACGATGAACTCGTCCGGAACATGAGGAACAGGTCCGAAATTGGTCCGAAATATTGGTCATTTCTGTTTCGGAATGAAGTGATAACACCTTTTTTATTTCTGCAGCACGACAATGTTTTTTGATGCATCAATTACACTCTCGTGTAAACCCAAAACTGGCGGGAAAATTCTTGTGGCATTCAGAGACGGAACCAAATGCGAGACTATGTTCCGGAATACATGTTTTGGGAGGTGGTTAGACATTCCTAATGTAGATGGGGATCCTTTGCTTCTACATTACCTCTTTTATCACGAAGTTGTCATCGACCCCCAAAGCCAAATAGAGGAAATGGTTTTTGAGATTGGGGGTTACGACCTGTATTTCGGGAAGAAAGAATTTTGTCTCATCATTGGCTTCCAGTTTGGTGACTATTTTCCTGCTTCTGCATCCGACACCTCCTTCCATTCCTGTGCCTTTCCTATGGTCCCGACGAATGTCTCGGTCAAATTAGACCATGTTATGAAAGTGTTTAAACATTCACTTAATGAGTTATCGGACGAGGATGCAGTCCGTGTATGTCTCATATACCTGTTAGAGAAGGGTTTTAATGGGCGGTTGGCTAAACAAACTGTTACAGAAGAGTATTTCACTTTGCTATCCAACATTGATGAATTCAACATGTATAATGCCGTCTATTTTATAATTACCGATTATAATTACTTATCGTTACTAATATTTTTTTTTGAAATTTAATTGTTAACTAACTTTTTATGTTGCAGATATCAATTGGGTAGGGTGGGTGTGGGGGGGGGGGATAATTTGGGTTCAATTATATAAATAGCTATTTACTGTATTCAATAAGGTTGACAAACTTATACATCCAGACGAACCGAATGAAAACCAACCTCAAAAATTGACCTAAACCATACATTAGTTTTTATACGCTTTTAAGGTAAGTATATGATAAAAAAAATATTATTTATTTTTGTTTGCTAACATTCTAACAATTTTTTTATTTATTTGTTTGCTAACATTCAGATATGGATTCTTGAGACTTTTTCGATGAGTAGTTTGTTTGGTACGTGACAACATAATGTGATATCTTGGGCTGTTGCATGGTCAAAACTGATGCATTTACAAAAGACTCATTGCAACCAGTTTTTACCGTTACTTTATTATTTAATTTATTTTATAATTTATGTTTATTTATAATTTTATAATTTTGTTAGCAAGATAATAGATTCGTACAGAAGTTAGAACCGACAAAAGATGAGATGTGTGCTGAATGGTGGATAGTTAGCTCGACATGGATTGATCGCCCTGATTTTCCCGACACTAAAGTTCACAGTACACATTCCCTAACACCATCACCCAAAAACTCCCTTACCCATGAGCCTCGAGAAAAGAACGCACGGATAGATGATTCATCCCACCCGCCACCACCACCATCGTCGGCCGCTGACCCATCAACTAACAAGGACTGAATTATTAGTGACTTGCAAAACGAGGTCTGTCAATTGAAAAATGAGGTTCGTGAATGTCGCGAGCAGTGCGGTCTCAGGATGAGCGTTCAGTAGAGCATGACGCTACTTTAGCCATGATTCTAAAACTTATCAATAAGACTCCCGGAGACGATGTTGGTACCTCAAAGGGGATGGAGGTACATTTTTAATTAGTTTATCGCTTACAAGTATACTTTATTAAGCCGTACAGGGATACTACTATGGTAATGACTTATGGGAGGATGATTATGTCTTAAGCACCCCTGAACAGCCGCTGAATGACGACCCTGAACAGCCGCTGAATGACGGCCCTGGACAGCCGTTAAATGACGGCCCTGAGCATCTGTCTCCGGTTATTCAATCGTCAGATGTAAAAGAGGTTTTGCGGGATGAATACAAAACATTGTTCCCAACACCTCTTAGGCATTCTAAGTGCCAACACCTCTTAGGCATTCTAAGTGCCAAAAATTATGTCCATATGGTATGAGTCGCCATGGATACAAATGAAGAGGAAGGGTGTTACACGGCAACAACCAGCACCGTTGGGCAATCTTTTAGAGCCTACCGTACACAGTATATATAAAGAACGAGATGGTTTGTTGTTGTTTGGTCGCAGTTATTTGACCGGTTTTTCTACGCTTGAGTTTTGGACACGGTTATATGCGGATAGTCATGGAGGATGGTTGTCATGTGATGTAATTAATATAATTATTTGCTCATTACATACTACGCTTCTAATAACAGTACTTACTTTACTGCAAAAAAAAATTATTTGGCAGTACATCATGATGTTGATCTCATTGTTGCTAGAGCGTAGAGTGGATGATGCTCGGTGGACGGTTGTGATGTCAGCTTTCAACACCGATACATTTGACTGGAGTGACATGGATGACGGGTCCGTTTACCCAGCTTGGGCAGAGTGTGATACGGTATAATTTTGTTTGGATTACATTACCTGAGTATTTATATACTAATTAATTATTTCTAACCTTTTTTGTAGCTTTACATCCCAGTCAATATATCACATGCTCATTGGTTTTTGGGTGCTTTGGATTTGAAGACATTCAAAATGACTATATACGAAAGTCATTGGAAGGGAGGCTACTGTTCGGAAACTGAGGATTAGTTTATAGGTATGTGAGCCCACATCCACAAACTACTAGTGGGAGTCAACTACTGGGGTACTGACCCAACTGATTCAATCTCACTTGAGAGCTTCAAGATGACCCTCGAAAAGACCCCAGATGTACCACAACAGATTGCCAGCAGAGATGATTGTAGGGTGTTTTTATGTTGGTTCCTGGAGGCGTTGATCACCGGGAAATTGATTTCTATAGAGGGTAAAACCACTGGCCCATGGGCTATGGGTTATCGAAAACGACTAGTGAAATTTTTTTTGGAGTACAAGGACAAAGATAATTTGAACATCGTATTTGTAATATGACCTACAGAAACAT